ACATGAATAGGAAGAAAAAAATAAAAAGATTCAAACTCCTAAAGGGGAAGAAAGGGAAAGCATAATTCCCGAGGAATAAACAAAAAGAAACAGCTCACAAGAACCTGGAAAGAGACCAAACAAACCAAACAAAGTAAAGAAATTAAAGAACAGTCAACTAAAAACGGTAAATGTACCAAAAACTCTTTGAGAGCTTTCAAACAAAAGCTGAAACGTTAATGGGAACTCCTCAACCCACTGAAGCTTCAAACAGAAACCTCCAAAACCAGCTTGAAACATCACGCCAGAAAAAGGAAGAAAAAGCAGCAACTGCCCAGGAGAAAAGCACGAACACCACAAGGCCAATGAAGAAAACAACCAACCAAAAGCCATATCAACGCCGAACTAAACTCAATAAAACCACAAGAAGCAGCAACTTCACCCAAAAACTAAAAACTGACGAGCAAAACAAACAATGACAACCACTTCAGCCCAGCCAAAGACAAATGCCTCCAAGGAGAAAAAAAACAAAACCAATGGGTGAAAACCCAACCGCTAGAAATGATCTCATATATTTCACTGTCACCTTCCTTTAGTTAGGAAGACAATTTTTCCTTTTGTTTGATGAGAGGGGGAGAAAAGATACCTTTTCATGCCCTTTAACAATTGGAAAATTGAACTCTAAATCATCACTGCCGAGGGTTATCACAGAATCCTTATCTGCCTCCTCATCTCCGTCCGAAAATCTGACTTCGTGATGACCCCATTTGTTGAGTTAATAAAACCCTTAGATGTCATTAACAAAGGATGTTGAAGAGTAAAAGTTTGGTTTGGATACTAAAGGCTCCTTATTTGAAAAGAATCCAAAAAATCCCATTAAATGGGTGCATCTCTCTTAAACTAAATCATGATTTTGGGTTCTGACTAACACTGAATATGGAAAAGTATAAGCCTTTTTATTTATTTATTATTTTGTATTTATTGAACTTTGTTCACATATTTGTCAATACAAATTATTAAATATTTTCATAACATTACTATGAAAGACTAATATATAACAAAAGATCAATTCTCTCTGTTTTTGACATGTAGTACCGTGTTTTCTATATATTAAAAATAAAAATAAGAGGGGCACCTTTTTCATCGGAAACCCAACAAGTTGTAGGGGATTCTTGTGGAAATCGAGCAAGGGACGGGGGTTAACTCCTTGTTCAGCCCTACCCTTATGCTAATCCCATGTATGAATTTCTAAGGGCTGTTTGTTTATAAGTTAAAAGTCATTGTGTATAAACCTTGGGTATTGGAAGTCATAATTTTCTTAGGGGATTCTTGTAGAAATCGAGCAAGGGACGGGTTTACTCCTTGTTCATGCCTTACCCTAATGCTAATCCCATGGATGAATCTCCAAGAGCTGTTTGTTTATAAGTTAAAAGTCATTGTGTATAAACCTTGTGCATTGGAAGTCATAAGATTCTTATGGGTTCCAAATGAATGGAGGAAACTTTCATTTGGGGGTTCTGATTTTCTAGTTTTTACTTTTGCCAAAGCCCTGGTTATCTGGTTCTGCATTTTCTTGATTGATCTGTCTTTCAAAAAAATTTCTCTAATATGCTAGCATCTTATGTTCATACTAGGACATCATTAGAATAGTTGTGTATATAGAAATTGATTGCTCATTTAGAGGTGAGGTAACGAAGTTTAACTGTGTCATAGCCCAGGAACCTTTCCTATGCACCCATCAATAATTAGAGGCAATGAAGTTTTTGAAAGAGAAGTTGTCTTAACTTTTTGGCGCTGGCAAAGAGTTTATATCAATCATGTCTTTCTGACTTGGGGTTTTTTCACCTCATTTTATGACTAATTAAGCTGCAGTGCATGAACAAAGGAATAATTCAGTTGGAGGGATTGATTCTACTGTTGCAGAGTCTTGTCTTGATCGGATGCCGTTAACATACAGACTTAAGGAGAACTCTGAGCCACTCGGTTTAAGTGTCCAGCGAATTTCCCCTGAAGGTGAATCCTCCCAGGGGCTGATCTCACCTTTTAAGCATGCTGCATTGCAGATAGAAAATGGGTTTGAGATAATTCCGAGCGTTGAACTCCAATTTATACCAAGGTTAGCCAGCAGCTCTCCACTGCATCAGAAGAACGAAGAAAGGCAAGAGTTGAAATATCTGTCCAACCTGAGGAATGGCTATGACGGTGAGGTATCAGTTTCGCTGCGGTTGGGTGAGCCAGAAGCAAAGAGAAGGAAGCACTTGGATTCTCTTTCAAGTATCAAAGAGTCATCACCATGAGTGCGGAATAAGACGATAGATTCAATTTGGTACTGAAAACTGAAATAAGTTTTAAATGGTTATATCTCCGTACTGGGTTCAGATCATTTTGCCGCCTATTTAGATCTATAAATTGGGACTGCCATATTACAAAGTTTGAAGCCTCAAGGTGGGAGTGCCATTCTTTTAAATGTCCTGTGCAGTGAAAGCCTTGAGGTTAGTTTTCAGTTCATACAACATATTATGGGTGAAAGGTATCTATGCCGGTCTTCAGCATCTAATTTTCTATTTTCCTGAACCAACTAGAGACTGGTGAAGACCTTGTTCCATAACTACTTTCGGGAAGGAAAAAAAAAGTAAAAAAAAAAAAAAAAAAAAAAAAAAAAAAAAAGAAAAAAAAAAAAAAAATATATATATATATATAGATAACGTTATCAGAAGCTAAAAATGAAAATGTTACAATATATTTGGAACCCAATAAAAGAGCCCCCCTTTTCGACCAGGTTAATGTTGCTTCGTCTTCTGAATTGTTTGTTTAAAGCCATCCTTTATTACTGTATTGGTTCTTTCATTTGTGGTGTGGTTTGTTGATGTTGATTTCAAATGCATGTTCATTAGAGGTAGAAACATCATGTGGTTACAGCTAAAGCACGATTAAGTTAGCTGCTATCATGTTAATGTGATCACGTTAGTGGGAGCTGGTAGTTCATAATATAATGCTGAACTGATATTTGAAAATTTGATATGAAGGTTGTATTGGAGGGCCATTATGTATGGAGAAGAGAGACATGCACAGATGATGAAACATGGAGTGTATTATATTTGTTTCTCCTACCTATAGAACAGAAAAGCGTAGTAATTATGCATAATTATTCACTCCAAAAATAGATTAGAAATGAAATGGCATTTGCATCCCCACCAGCTACGGGTTCATACCAACCTTAATCAAATGAAAGCCTACTCAACTCTCCTATTTTCATTACGTAACAAAAGCATGTGAGTAGGCAGTGGTAATCAAAGCCTAATCTTTGATGATCTTCATTTTCTTTTTAAAAAGAAAAAAAGAAAGAAAAAGTTGTCTGTTGTCTAGTATTTGCTGTCCTTTTCTTTTTCTAACCAAAAGTCGACATAGAATTGTTAAGACAGAAAAACCATCTCTTAATCTCGAAGGCTAAACCAGATAGATCATAGCGATGGACAATCCAAACACGCACCAACCTGATCCCTACCCAGCTGGCCTTTTTTTTTAAGTGGAACATTTCATCGATATCTATTGTTCTTCTGCATTACTTGGTTATGCATTCACATGGATCACCACCACATAATTGCTGCTATGGCCAAACATCTACTTAATATTGTATTTTTATATCAGCAATTAAGCATTATGATGATAATGGGATTGGACAGAACGCTCATGGGTCAGCTGAAAATAGCTGTAAACCCCAACAGAAAGCCGCATTATATAAACTTCTCTCTAACCTCTGCCAAATGCCAGTTAAGGGGATAGTTGACTCAATATGACTCGAGAGTTCATGCTCATATAGCCCTGTTTGTCTTTCCTTTGTCTTCAAATCTAAGCTTTGTTAACTTTGGATCTGTAATAATTCGTTTAGCTCTCTCTGTCTGTGCTGGTCTTTCAACATGTGTTGGGTTGAGAGGTTGAAGCTGCCAGCATGATCTGGGGAAGGGTAAAATATTTTGTTAGCGATGATGATTCGGTGGCCGCCTTAAAGGTTGGTTTCTTCCATCAGGTCATCTTGCAGCTTCAATCACTAAATCACCAACAACACTAAGGATATTGCGTTTGCTCCCCACTCAGTCCAGAGAACGCCCATTTCAGATAAGTCTATCTTCTTCATAACGTTCTTTAAGTTTGCTTATGATGGTTTTCCTTTATTGTCTTAATTATTTAGTAAAGACACTGTCATTTGAATCACTTCAGCCTCTGATCAAGCTCATTGGTAATCTTCGGTCAGTCTGTGGTTTGTGTTTCTGTTCCTTCATGTTCTATGTGTTTTGCATGAATTCAATTGGACATACACAATAAGCAGGAGGAAAGCTCTCGATAAATCTACTTCATGCTATGTTCATGCAATGTTTCTCATCATTTACTCTATCTTCAACCAACTTCTATAGAAATAAATCCTTAAAATTTAATCTTCAAAAGAGGATGGATGTTGAATGAGAACAATTCAAAAGTACATCAATATACTTTTAATTAGTTACAGGCATCGATATACATAAATATTTTCGCGCTTACAGAATAATATTAACAAATAATTAGCTACAGGCATTCTTAGTTTCCCATAATATATAATACGGTAGATCTCCTCCTCTTCAGCATCATCTCCATTTCTATGCAAACAACAATGAAACAAAATTTTGGAAGGTTTCGAGTTCCAGAAGCTTACCTTTCAAGATCACTTGAAAAGAGTGTGGTAGGCTAGGAGAGAGGAAAACAAAAGGTCAGTTACAGAAGAAACTGTTCCATAGAAAGAATAGCAAAAGGAAAAAACTGTTTAGTATACAGAAGATACATGTAAGACCATAGAATCGTCATTGTTTTTGCTGTATTTGGCGCCGCTGATAGCATCTCGTATGAGTCGGTTGAATAACTTATGCGTTTTCACTTGACATGTGATTGAAATGCAAATTTTTTCATGGTTGGCACGCAGGTGGTAGGGATGAAATTAGAGCATTTGAGATAAATTAAGATTACATCAAGGAGGATTATGGAACGCGTAATAGAAGAACATAACCAATGCTGGAGTTTAAATGAGATTGTGTGGATTATTGAGATTGTAATACATAAGTGTAGTGGTGAGAGAGTGGAGAAAAAGAAAAGATGGCCCACACAAAGAGAAAGATGTGATGGGAGGGAGGTGGATCAAAGTTGGTTAACAAAAGCATGATGAATGCGCAAGCCTTTCTTCCATTTGCCATTCCAGATTTCATAAAGACCAAACTGCAGGGTGGTGTCTCTGGCTGAGACTGGAATTTCGATCTCGTAATCGTTGGGAAAGTCTGTCTTTTGAAGGTCTTTTTTGATATACAGCTTCTTCCAATTGTAGTCACTTGAGAATCCAACCGTAGCCATCATGAACACTGGACTGCCCTCCCATCCATGCGCATCATGATCTAAGCTGATATTGAACCCAACCTTATATTTTCTCCCTGCTTTTGCTCCTCTGTATGTCGCTTTTACTTCAAACCACATCACTTCCTTTGCTAATGCATATCTGTCTACCACAACCATTCAATTAATTCATTCCACTTTCACACTTTCATTTCATTCTCTCTACCCATCTAATCGATATTCATTCTAATTCTAATTAATATTGCTGCTTACCCTTCTCCGTGATTAATCTCCCACTGATTCTCATCAGAGCCCCATACTATATTTAGGTCTCGTGGTGATATTTTTACTTCATTTGGTTCACCTTTCACCTGCCATCATAACATTTCATATCATACCATATCATATATTTTATATGGATACATGTTGCTTCATCCATCCATAGCAAAAAAACATTAGAATTTCAGACAAAAATGAAAAAAATAAACAAAACCTACTTTTGGGTACAGCTTTACCCTGTTCATTGCTTGTAGCTTGTTTTGTTTCTTTCTTCTGCGTACCGATGTGCAACTCTTAGTTTCTCATACGCAGCAGCTCCTTCCACATATATACGTGGTTCAAAAGGAATATAACGTTAAAGTTTTAACCAAATCTCTTTCTGTCCAACACAACTCAAGCGCATCACGCAACCCCAAATCTCAAACTTATTCCCATTTTCATGTTCATACAGAATAAATATGTCACTTTCACTTCAGAAATTTAATCTTTAAAATCTTGAATACGCCTTGAAAAAAATGTTTGTGTTAAGTTTGGAAAAAAGAATATTATGGTGTGGTATCAAAGCGAAAGGAACTTCTAAGACAAAAGAAAGGAAAAGAATAATAAAAAGGAAAAAGATGAGTATTCTTTGAGACGTAGCAGAATTGTTGAAGGATGGAACATAAATTAGAAAGTTTTGTTAGCGGCGAATATTACAAATTGTGCGTAAACAATACTAGAAATTCTGAGGGAAACAAATTCTGTATGGACGGTTGGCGATAAAAAGCTTCTACACGAATTAGGTAATAGAATAGAATGAAGAAGAAATTTGGATGGATGGCAAATTCCTGAGTTGCCACTACAAGATGCGCGCCTTCTTTACTTAATCAACATACCACACAACAGATGCTTTACCCCTACTTTTCTGTGGCTTTCCATCTATCTTATCTATCTTTTTGCAATCTCCTTTTGTTTCAATTTTGACACAATTTTAGACATCCAAATGCTTAGCTTAAAGAAAAAACAGCCTCCGGTAAAAATAAGTGCCTAATCATTTTTCCACCTCATCATCTAAGCCAAAAATGAGACTGCATTCAACAACATGATTCTGACCATCTTCAATGTCTTTGACATTGCATGTCGTAATAGTTTCATCTTTGACATTGGAGTCTTTTCTTAAATAGTAGTGACATGAGCCAGGAAGAACTGCCCCAATGACTGCTTTAATAGAGGAATTTTGGTCGGTCAGTGAGTATCACCTTTGGAGCTCGTTCTCCCATTGCTAAATTCCATGTTTGTATTAGCCACATAAATGTATGAACTCTCTCATCTGCAATCACTGCACAACCAAGTAGGTTGAATATGATGGTGAAGAAAACTGTCTCATCTAAATGGAGGGAGGGAGGTCTTTTACTTTTAGGTTAAAGCATATTTAATCTCTCAACATTGTTGTTTATTGGGTCATAATTAATAAATAATATGTATGTTAGTCCACATTATTAATCAAACTATTTATGTTTTTACTATCTTAGTTTTACCTCTAATATATTAAATAGTATGCCATTTAATAAATGTTTATAAATTAAATTCATTTCTTCCTGCAAAAAAATATTAAATTCATTTAAATGCTAAAAGAAATTAAGATGTATAAAAATACATTTATAAAATTAAAATGGAATGAAAACACAAATTACAACCCAAAACAGTATTTTTTAACTTGTTTTTCCTTTATGAAAAGGAAGCCAATAGAAAAAAGGATTATCTATTATGAATAGGAAGCCACTTCAAAAAAAAAAAAAAAAAAATCACCCAAATTATGCATTATTCATCATGTTTCATACAAATCTACGATTATAAACCCTCTGCTTACTCCTAGCTTCTGGACTTCATAAACGCATTCAGTTTCGTGTTTTATTAATCTACCATTCACATCCTCGGCAACTGTATTTGTACAAGAAAGAAAGACACAATCTGAAGAAAAATTTTCCAACTGTAAATTAAGTGGACAAGCCAAGCTACCAGTACCATCATTATGATTAGAAAGAGCCGAATTCACAATCTAACTTTGTGTCGCTTATGCTTCATCCTGCCCTCCCTCTCTGCACTTGCTTTGTTCTTGTTGGATAGATTTACTCCACTACTTTTTCTCAGTTCTGAAACCACAGCCAGCCAACCAGCCCAACCAAATACTCATTTCGTTCCGGAAAAGTACAAATTTTCATTACTATTACTTTCTTACCTCGTTACACTGTGCCTTGTCTCAGCGGTTCAGATTCAACGTGGGCTTCAACCTTGTTCTGGCTGTCTAGCGGCATGTATTGCGACATGATAGACATGATCTCCGAATCCATGTAAGACTGTCAAAAGTAATGCATCGGATAAGGTTTAGCTATCTTAGGACACAATAAATTCCTTTAAATGGTAGGTAATAGGTAATAACCCAAGACAATGCACAATGTGGTCAGTGTTATACCCGCAGCCTATATTTGTAGAACATGTAACCGGCTAATCCCCCTCCAACGACAACTGCCAGAACCAGAAATACGAGGAGCAATCCAACTTTCGAACCACTTTTTTCTGAATAAGTAACAACAATGTGAAATGAATTGTCAACAACAGAGATCACGTTCAAGGGTCATTCATTCTTATATCTTGATTCCATCATTTTCAGTTAGGATGGATATATAAGACGGTAGGTGCATGCTTACCGATACAAATATCTTGGTCCTTCATGTATACTTGGTTACCGCTACACTTGCAGTCGTATCCACCCCAATTGTTCTTGCAGCTACAACCATCACACTGACAAGCAAGACGCTCCTTACATTCATCAACATCTGCTTTTTGCATTGCATGGTCCATAAAAAAAAAAAAATAAATANATAAATAAATTAATTAATTAATTAAAAATTAAAAAACAGAATTTAAATTTATAATAAATAAATAAACCGTGAGCGCAGGTCAAAGGGATCTGTCCACACGCGTATTTACCAATTTATTTCTAAATTTATATAGACAAAATAAATAAATAAATAAATATAATTAATTAATTAAAAATTAAAAAAAAGTAAAAAAAAAAAAAAAAAAAGCATTCTAAACGCTCACTCCAAACCACTCTCGAATTCATTAAGAAGCTTTGCAGTTAGTGGTTTTAGGACAAACCTTCGCAATTTTGGCCATCCCCTCTGAACCCAGATGGACACTTGCAACCGCTTATATCTGAATTCTACATTGCGTAAAAACACAAGAATGAAATTGTAAGGTTAAATAATGGTGGTAAGTACAAAACACACACTATTGCTTCTAGATCTGATAAATTATGATGGAAACAGCACTGAACTGAGCAAGCTGTGGCAGTTAACCCATTTTTAGTTTCTGACCAGCAACCACCATTGTTAATCGTGCACCTTGCAGGTCCATAGGCTGTTAAAATAAACAGCAAATGAAATAATTAAATCACTTGATTTAAAAAATAAATAAAAAAACTCGAAAGTTTGCCGTTTTATTAAAAATAAAGTAACAATTAATAAATGACATAAATAGAACATCAGTTACCTAATTACTCCCTCCAGTCACAAAATGTTATTGGTGTCAATGAATTGGGGAGAGAATTTTAGTTTGTGAACAACAAAATATAACAGGTTTAGTTTACCTTCACACGAAGTATAACCATCTCCTTTATACTGAACACCATTAACGACAGGGCACTCACAAACTCGTCCCCTAAATGTGTCCTGATCAAATCGATAACTAATGATTAATTTAAGATGCAACCGTACACCTTTGAACAGAACTTTAAACCATATATAAACGTTCTTTTGTGAAGCAAGCAAATGTGAAAACTGAGATATTCCTTGTCTTGGTTTTTTTTATAATCTTTATTTAGGTTTTAGGAAATTGGGGATTTTCATAGTCTTTCATACTCTTTTCAGTTCAAAAACGTGAGAAACTGTTAAAGGACATTCAAATTTGCAAAAATAGAAAGTAGAAAAAAGTTAGAAAGATAGCCTAAAATGTACAGACAGGTTCATTTTTAACCTTGCATGCAGTTATGTTCTGTTGTGTGAGCTGCCAACAGCCACCATTCCTTTCGAGGCATTCATCGGTTTGAATATCTGATTAGGAGTGACATCAGAAAAATTTGGAAGGGGAAAAAAAAAAATAATATCTCAAGCTGATGACCATCAAAATCTTGGACAATGAATAGAGCATAAATATTTAGATGCATCAACCTGAAGTCAAGCAAATAGGAGGCTCCTCGGTTTCCTTAAATCCTGAACAGATAGCCTTCAGCACAGCAGTTCTGTCCAGTTTCCCTTCAAGCCCAAATGGTTCAAAGAAAAAAAATTCAAAATCTTCATATAGATCACATATAAATTAAAACAACTGGCCAACCACTAGATAGCGAACCTCGATACTGAACCTCATTAATCACTAATGTGGGTAAGATTGTAACATCACCACGAGCCCCATTGCCAATCTGAAATCAGGTTTGTGAGTCTATTAGCAATTATTTATACTGAAGCAGTACAGAATATCAGTGTTCGAAACTCCGGGATTATTTGCTATTATAAAATACAAAGGCTGTTTAAAGACAAGTAAGGTAAAAAACATTATGGTTACCTGCATTTCTTGCTCAACCTTTAGCACTTTATTCTCCACATCAGCTTCAGGATCGCCCATGCATTCATTAATCTTGTCAACTGGAAGATCTGCATCAGTCAGCATACAGTTAATCAGGAGTTGCTTAGGTGTGTTTCTTCTTAATAATTTCATTGATAATCGTGACAAACTTGAGATCAGGATTCAAGTCAATTAAGATTTGAAAGTAGATTACGTACTGAGAGACTTCAAGACATCCTCAGCACATTGCTTGCTGTATCTCTTGTCCTTCATGGAGCATCTAACATGAAAATCTGTAACGAAATCCCACCAAACCCAGGAGCGATTGGTCTCATTGGAAACTCGATGCACACAAAGTTGTCTGAGATTTTCATAGACAACGTCTTTGCCTTCATACCCAACTCCAAAATCTTGCTCTGGGTCTGGCGCACAATACCTGCCACGGTTAATGCACTGGGACTTGCATTGGCTGCTAAATCTGAAGGCCTCAGGGCAATACCAAGTGATGTAGTGTGGTGTGAACTGGGTGTAACCTCCCTTCTCCAGAATCTGAGCGTGTCCCTTAAAACTTTTGACAAAATTCATTTGCTCATTACATCGACTGCCACATTCATCATTGCTGTTAGTCCAAAATTCATACTCCACTCGGTTATCGGGATGGGGAACCGACTCTCTCCAGTCTAATCTGATGATAACATCTTCGCCATTCCTCACTGCTTCTTTTAGGCTTGTGCCGAGGGATTTCTCTATGAAAGCAGACGGAATTTGGATTTTTTCAATATAACTATCTGCTTCGGTGCTGTCTTCAGGTGAATCCATCGTTATTAGAGACTCCTCAATACTATCCATTACTAAAACTACAGCTGCTCCAGCCTGTTGAGCATTCCATACTTTCAAGGCAAAGTAGCAATCTGAATTGAATGGTCAGAAAGAAACCAAGAAGTTGAAATCAGAACAAACCATTCCTTTGAGAACTCTCCAATCAAAAAATCAGACACAGAAAATTGAGAGTGGGATGCAGCATATTTGATGTGAGTTGTCATTGAGTTTGTGCTTGATTTTGATAATACAACTTAAATGTCCAAGAGGGAGAAGGGTTTTTTTTAATGAAAAAAAAAGTCAAACAAATGGAGCCATAAGCCTTGAGAAAAAAGAAAAAGAGAACAGAGTAATAACAATAATTTGAAGATTCAAAGTCAAAAGTTTCGAGGCCCTAGAAATGATCTATGGATCGTAAGTAAGAATCAGGAGGAAAGTAAAAGGTATCATACCCGGCATCTGGATAATAAAGTCAACAAGAGGCGTAAAACAAAATAGCCAGATTTCGTTGGAAACATCATTGCTAGGCAGATGCATTCGATTTAATCGAGAAAAAAGATTCTGGATCCCGTTTTGTTGATATTAGATTCTCGTCTATTTCAGTTTGTTTCTTAGTGGATGACACAAGTGTAAAGGAATTCAAAAATTAAGAATTCAAATTTAAACCCGGATTCCTATTAAGATTATAGTTGGGAAAAGAAAACGAATACAAAAGAGTTGAAATCGCGGTTTCGCTAAAAAAGGAAAAAGGCGATTCAACGGCATTAATAAGAGAAGGTGAGTAGATTTTGGTTTCCGAGTTTAGCATGATAAATGCATAGAATGAGAAAAGGAAGAAAAAAAAGAGATACCTCCACGATCGAGGAGAAGGATGATGGGGCGAGAGGTCTTGGATTTAAAAGGCTTATCGCCGTCGAAGGGAAGACAGCCGAAAGTGCCTTTCTGAGGATAGAAAACAGAGCCGACTATGAATCCGCCGTAATCGGGAATCCCAAAGTTGGCTATGGCAGCGTCATGCTTGGACTTGAGAGAGGTGGGAGAGAGAACGGAGACGCTGCTCTTCTCGACGACGAAACGGGCGTGGACATGGAGATGAAGATGAAGATGAAGTGGGATTAGGAGCGCAAGGAGAAAGGTGAGAAGAGGCATGGTGCAGAAGAAGCAAGGGGAATGGAATGGAGATCGGATTGGAAGAAGAAGAAAAAGAAGAAGAAGAAGAAGAAGAAGAAGAAGAAGAAGAAGAAGAAGAAGAAGAAGAAGACGAAAAAGAAGAAGACGAAGAACGGGACAAGGCAACCAACTGAATAGATAATAGAAGTGGAGAGAGAAGAGGGAGTTGGTTCAGAAGTGAGAGAGAATGGTGGGAAGGATCAACAATACAAGAGAAGAAGAAGGAAGACTTGGTTTGTTTGCTTCTATTTGGGGCAACTTCTTCCTCTAACTAAGTAGACTTCAAGGAAACGTTATGATTTCATCACTGCCAATATATATATATATATATATTAATTGTTATAAAATAGCAATGCCTATATCGTTTTTTGCAATTTAATATTAATTTCATCATATCAGGTTCATGTTAATATGCTACAATAAATACTCACTAATTTGTTAAAACAAAAATATTAAATTAAAATAAATATTTCAAAATTTTAAATTTTGAAATAAGTTTAGATCTAAAATATTGAAATCAAAATGGAATTTAAAACCAAATTAATTTTTTAAATATAAGAGTGACAAGTGGTGTTAGTATTAATTTATCCTATTTATTTATTTTAAATTTACTTCTTTAAATAAGTTAAATATGTGTATATGCATACCAATTTCCACTACATACCATAAATTTAATGGGTTAAATACAGCATAAAAGTTGGTGTATTTTTATAATAAATTTTGAGTTTGAATCTGAATTTCATACCCCGTTTAAAACTAAAATTATATTTTCATGTCGTTTTTTTGTATTAAAGATTAAAGTGTAATAGGTAGAGTTGTATTATTGCAACCCAAAGCTTGTTATATAGAATCAAAATGGATGGTTATATATAAATGAATATACTGAAAACAATATATTATTGTTGTTGTTATTATTATAACGATTTAATAGCAAATAGATTCAAACCTTTAAATTCTTGATGACCCCCACATACTGCAAAAAATCTATTTTAAAAATAATTTTATTTATTTTGACCCAGTAAACGGAAGACTATACTAATTTTAGTTTTTGTATTTTCAATTTCAACTTCAATGTTTAAAAATTTTCAATGAAGTGATGCTGAAAAGAAAAGTTGTTAAAGTTTATTAATAAAGAAATAATGTGAATTTTTAATCATATTTTAAGACATGTTAATTGAGAACATTTAAAATATTTACATTGTATGATGCAACGATTGCAGAGTCAAGTAAGCGAATAAATTGAATAAGAAAACACAATTAGGCATATGTAGTTTTTAAAAGTTGGTACATGGAATGCTTATGCTTTGGATACAAATTTTTATCTTCCGAAAAGAGAAAAAATAAATGAGTGGGTTACCAAAGAATAATACTTGCCAAGTAGGTATTTCTATGTTGACCACATTAAAACTTGAATACCATATATTTTTATTAAAAAAAGAGAGAGAAATTAGTCTCTCTCCTATTGCATTGCTTACTCTTGATTGCAGAAACATAATCGTCGTGTGTTTCAGAGGTGGGATTTGGGATTCAGGAAGACGAAAACGTAAAGGGAGGGAGAATTTGACCATCTATCTCGCTTCCACCCCAAAGTTGAGACTTTGGGTTGAAGAAAAAATAAAGATAAGGAGCTACTCATCCAAATCACCCTACTCTTTTGGATAATGCTTTTTTATCCTATCCTATTAAATCATAATAAAATAAATAAATTATCATCACAGTTCGTCTTCTTTCACAAAAACCCATCCTCCCAATTTCAACTACTTGCTATACTTATATTACTCTATCTATGCATTGGGTCAAATACGATATATCTTCAAGACAGCCTATTCCAAAAATTATAGCGTGACAAATGAACTGAAATAACATAATATAGTACTATTCCAATAGAATATCTATCTATACTGGCCACTGGGGAAAAATGTACCCGATTCATCTCTCAGGGTTTAAATGTGGCGGTTCCTCTTGATCTTGCACTTACCCCGGCGCTTGGCCTTGCCAACCTTGAATTTTCTTTTCGATTTCTTCCCAATTCCACCTACAGCCTTCAGTGTCGTGCTTTCACCATATTCATTCATCTCCACATCTGCAACACAAACAAAGAAATTAACACCTTCCACACATCTATTCTCAAATAATTCAAACCATACATAGAAAGGCCCAATGCTAATAAATACATCTGCACCACCACAAATGAGAACAGAACTTGTACGTGATGTAATGAAGCTGGGTTGTATTACAATTCCACTGTTAAGTGAGCACTGCTCAACTGCCATAAATTGTGTACCTTCAACAAAAGGTTCAAATTCCCCACCCCATGATGAACTCCAAGAAAAAGGAAACTTCCTTATATTCCTTAAAAATGCCCAACTAAAAGTTCAGACGATAGTTTCAACAACTGTTAAAGGTTTACCATTTTTTGAAGGAGCCATCGTTGGAGTAAAGAAGACCTTGTGCAAATCACACTAAAGACTCAATGAAGAGCTCCGCATTAGGACTGACAGCAACATACCTCTTCTAAAATTTTAAAATCATAAGCTAATCTCTCAGATACAAGCACGTAGGAAAGCACAATAGAACACCAGGAATAACGCTTAGAATGGCACATGACATTTTCATTTAAAAAAAAAAAAAAAAAAAAAACAGTAGGATCACAATCAGAAAGAGAGAAGGCTAAAAAACAGACATAGCCCCTTAGCAGGAAATACTTTTTTTGTTCATTCGGGATGTCTTGTGACGCTGGATATGGGATAGGAACAACATATGGTAACTTTCCCTCAGAAGTTGTTTGACGAACAAACTTGGATATTTCTGATCGGGAAAGCTTTAAAACCATTTTAATTCAACTGTCACATAAATTAACGTCGCAGACAAAACATAGATGGTGAAATAATAATTACGGGAAATAAGTAACTCGACACTTGAAAGAATTGAACAGCTATATGGCTAAAACATCATTAAAAAGAAGTTGTATTCATCAACACCTATAGCATAAAATATGAGTTGAAAACAGAGAAAACCAAGTCTAGACTGTCACAAACGAACTTTCACAAAAACATTTTGACCTCCATAAGAAAGGAAACATAACAATTGTATATTGAAGTTGGCCAACTATCCTTCCATATTACCCCTCTATTTTCTCTATCCGAGCTAATTGTGGAAAATACGACTGTGACATCCTGACTCCTGTTAACTATATGTATATTTAATCTGTTATTTCAGTTGCTAGCTTTCTGTTTAGTTCAGTGACTCTGTTAACCTCGTGATTTTAAGATTAGTTGTAATCTTCTTAGAGGCCGCCTGTGTGTAAATACTCTTATTCATTCATAATTAAAACTACGATGAATTGTTCTTTTTTTCAAAATCAAGTTTTAGAGCTAAAAATGTAGACTAGCCCACGAAGTGGATGGAAGCAAAGCCTCAACATATCAGGCCACAAAAGTGGGGGCTGTGAATTGCTTGGAATTTATTCGAGGGTTGTCTCTCTATGTCTCCCTCCCTCTTACCCCTCTTTTAACCGTACAAAGATTGTGCATTTGGATGATAGAATGACTTCGGTTACGATATTCATCATGGGTTGAGTGAACAAAGCAAAAGAGGGCAAGGATGAAAGAATTTTCATATAATGAGATGAAAAACCACAACAATGAAATCCAAAAACCTAAAGAATGAACATAGAGGAGCAAAAAGAAAGGTGTGCAAGTAATAGAAGGAACAAAGGGGATACCCATGGCAGAGTCGGCGTTAGTAGAAGCAGAGGCTGATGCGACGTCCATAGTAGAAATATTGGAAGTGAAAGGAGATGGACGCACGGGAAGCTTAGGGGCAGCAAGGGCAGCCTCTTGAGCAGCAAGCTTCGCTGCGTCTTTCTTGTCGTAAAAAGGGTCAACCATGTCTCTCCGGATGGCCCGCAGTCTCTTCTCTCTCTTCGATCTCATGGATTTCGCCATCTTTCTTCTCCCCGACGAGTTTCTTCGCTCTGAGTCTGAGGTTGCTTCGATCGCGTGGCCGACCAAGTTTAGGGGTTTGGGCGAATGTAGGGTTATAAGGACCTCCTCTCTCTTAATGTTTGTTTCAAGTATTAAAAATCGGATTTTATAATTATTTCATAGAATAAAAAGGAAAGTAGTATTTGTTTTAATAAAATAAATATGAGTATTTGAATTTTGGAGTAAAAATAGTAATGTAAATAGTTAAGTGTGTTTTTGCAAATAAAAAATTGTATTAATGCTTAAAAAAATTATGAATGTAGATAATGATTTCAATATCCACTATACCAATGAATTAGTAGTATAGGTTTTTATTTTGTTACGACAGGAATAGGAGGTGGTAGAATGAGATGCCATATTCTTCTTCCCCCAATCATTTTCTTTCTCCCTTCTCCCTTCTCCCTTCTCCTTAGATGTTGCTACCCTGTCTCTCTCACCATAGGTGAGAAAACACAGTCCCACCAACCCATTCGCGATCGACTATCGTGTCCTTTTGCTTCCATCCTTTGCCTACTCAAATCTTGTTATATGTTCTTTTTTCATTATCTTTCCTCATTTCTTCACTGCCGGTGGTGGAGGAATTATCAAGTTGAGAGAATGATGGAAATGGAAGGAGGAAATAGGATCTAGAAGGGGCCTGGTTCAATCTAGAAGGAGAAAAAGGAGGGGGAAAGAGTGGGCAAGAAATGTGATCTCAATTTTGCCAACTCAGAGTCCAATGGTAAATAAATATAATCAATAAGTAATGACCATGTATGTCGCATTTGAAACTTCATCAACCAAAAAACAGTGGCAACCAAACAACCCTTGGAATTAATTAACAAGTGTATAGTTGACAACAGGCCGAGAAAAGGCACCAAACCAAGTATGAGGAGTTTGTAATTGTAATTCTAAGTAAATAAAAAATGTAATAAAAATTCGAAGATGCGAAAGGAACCAGGATGGACGATGATGTCATGCCTTCCCAATGAACTCCACATCAAATAAGAGGACTGAGTTGGGAGGAATGATACAAGACCCTGCATACGCAATCAAACCAAAACACCACTTTCAACTACAAACTCCTTTCCCTATTCTCAACTACAGCATTAAGATTATTAACTATGATTATCCAATTAATTAAAAGTAATTGATTCATAACCCCCTTTACCAGTACACGAAAACAACCAGAAATTTCATCCTACCTCCTCTGCATCCAGCACCTCTCGCGCCATACCCAAGTTGTGGAGGAAGCTTTAGAACCCGCTTCCCTCCTTCACAAATCCCACGAACCAATAAGTGTCAACGAAATTGATGTTTTAATTAACACCATTCCAGTTCCATAGGCTTAACAAAATTTCCAGTTTATGTGGAAAACGTACCCGGAAGCATTGCTGGAACTCCATCGCCCCCAAGAATACCTTCATCCCAACCTTTTATAACCTGCACATTTTTACTTTACTTCTCTCAATTAATTAATATCCACTCTCTCCTTCCCATGTTTCTTAAAATATATATAAATACATATATACCTCACCAACCCCAACTCGAAAGGTTAACGGCTTCCCCCGATTGTAGCTGCTATCAAACACCTTTCCGCTCTCTAGTTTTCCAACATAATGTGCCTACCAATCACCAATTTCTCACTTCACACGGGTATACAATACCACAATACAACAATACAACATCAATTCTATATGAGCCCACTCTTCACATTATTTCAGATTTATCAAGTATAATTTCAAATCATTGAATCTATGGTAGAGAACAAAGGGGTACGAGTGATTGAAGGCATACCTTGATTAGCTGTCCTTTCTCAGCCTCAGGGCCTGTCCCGACAACTTTATCGCAAAATGCAAGGCCCGACGGAGCTGTTGTGAATTCACATGGTGTGGCTTCAGCAGTTGCAGGCAATGGTTGTAGGAGAAAGCTGGCAAGGCCGAGTAGGAATCCACAACCAATTGCTCCTCTTCTGCCGAATGAAGCTGGGCTCTCCTTCATTTCCAGTTCTTGAAGAGAAGAAGAGATTTTTGGGGTACGGGTGTAGGTAAATTTGGAGACTTGTTTCGTCGTTAGACATTTATCAGGTGAAATGTTGTTGGAGCTGAGCGTTCTGGGAGTGGCAGCCCTAAATGAAATTGTCAGCGAGCTCATATCCAACAAACACTGCTCTCTAGTTTCAGAAGAAGATAGATCAAAACAGGATTAGCCTCCACCTGCGCACCGCTCATTGCCTTGTTGCGCGACGATGGATAGAAGGTAATCGTATTCAGTGTGGGAAGCATGACATTGGGCAACGCACCATCAAGCGGGCCTGTTTTGTTGCGGCCAACCTTGGGCCACTTTGAGTCCACTTCTAAGAATTTGTGGTGGTTTTCGTTCATTTATGCTCGGCCCAACTACAACCTGTAGTTCTCGGTGCGTAGCTAGAGTTTATGGATTTTCTAATGTATCTACGGCTATTTACATCTAACCGGAATTATCATCAGCTGGGCAACTCCGGTTTTAGTTACTCACGGATCGACATATAGATGGAAAAGGGTAGTTCGTGCCTGCAAGTAAAGCTAAACGAAGCAGGCCTAATTATGAATTAATGAAATTATAGGGAGTTCTCCCACGACCAATGAGATTCTTTTGGTCTCTTCCTGGAAGTAGTTTTCTAATTAGTTTAGCCTTTCTTGTTGTTGTTGGAAGAAGTTTGTTGTGGTTGGAAGAAGTTGGAAGAAGGAATAGTGAAAGAGAGATGAAAAGATAGAATCTATGAAAACTACTGTGCTTTATTATTGTCTAACTTGATGTTTATAGGGTTATACAATTCCAGTATTTATAGGACCAGAAATAAATCATGAAAATTTAGATAAATTCAAATTTACTAACAATCTCCTAAAATAGTGATAGTTTGAATATTTGAGTCATATCTTAATTAGTTTAAATCTATCTCAACAGTTGTTCTTCTTTTTCAGCTCATTTCCGTTTTCCCTGTGAGCTGCCCAAAGCTATTATTTACTTCCAACAAATTGGAGCATGGCAAACAAGTTAATTAAACCTGACAGCTCGAGATCTCAAGGGACATCAAATTTCTATCATTTGGCCAAATTTACCAATGACATAAATACAAACAAAACAAGCCAAGGTTTGCTATGGTAGAGAAAATAATCGATCAAACAGAACAGACATGTAGGGAGGCGAAGCTCTGGTTCCACCAAGAACCTTTGGCAAACTCACATTAGCATGTCAATCTCGAATGGGCAAGAGAGCAGCAGATCAAGCCATGACCAGAAAGGTAAGCGCTCCCGCTTAGCAATAACCATCAGTCAGCAATCATCCCCCAATATTGTACTAATTGAGGTCCGCGCCCAAGATAAGATCACGCTCTTTTGTCCATGTAAAATTGGCAAGAGCTGGCATTTGAGAAGCTATGCACCATTGCAGACTACAGATTTATTTCCTCTACAGTTGCTCCTCAGGAAAATTTGCAAGGAAGCAGATTACAAAACACCAGTGAGAGTAATTGTAAAGTTGACCATATCAATTACTATTCTAATTCGAAAAGGAGTGATGCAATTATAGGCAGCTACAATCCACTTCTGATAAGGCTATACGCCCTAACCTTCCGCACATTTTGGTTCAGTAAATTCCTTATCTTTTCTGCATCATCCCACTTTTCCTCTAGAACATACAAATCAGATATAAGAGAGTAAACTCCACCATGATTCTCGGGTTCTGACTTGTCCAGTATCTGCTCAATAACTCTCTCAGCCATGTCAAAGCTTTTATGTTGCTTACAGGCCGACAAAAGAGAGCTCCACACAATGATATTAGGTTCGAGTCTCATATTATTAATAACCCCATAAGCTTCCTCCAACAACCCCGACCTACCCAGCAGATCAACCATGCAACCATAATGTTGAATCCTTGTTTCTAAGCCATATTCTTCAATCATGTTGAAGTATTTGCGGCCTTCTTGAACAAATCCGGCATGAACACAAGCACTTAAAATCCCAGTGAAAGTCAATTCATTCGGTTCCACACATTCATTCCTCATCATCTCAAATAAATCCAACGCCTCCTTGCAGTAGCCATGCTTTGCCAATCCACATATCAGAGCAGTCCAGGTCCTGACGTTCTTTTCAGACATCAAATGAAATACCTGGCAAGCGTACTTAAAAAATCCACACTTGGCGTACATATCAACCAAAACTGTACCAAGTTCCAGGTTTAGTTCCCACCTATTCTTGACCACAAAACCATGAACTGATTTGCCAGCTAACAATCCTAAAGAGCCCATATAAGCACACCCTTTTAAGATTGAACCTACCGCCATCTGGTCAGGAGTTATTCCAATAACTATCATATCTTGGAAAAGAAGCAAACCACCCCTGTAATTGCGGTTGTTAACGTATGCAGCAATCGTGGCGGACCAAGATGCCAAGTCTCTTGATGGCATCAGATCAAATAGCTGGCGAGCTCTGTCTACATCCCCTGTCTTGGAATACCCGAAAATCATAGTGTTCCAGGTAACAGTGTTTTTGTGGGGCATTTCATCGAACAACAAACAAGCAAGTTCAAAGGAGTTCAGGACGTACGCATAGAGTAGGGATGTAGCGACAAAGACATGGGTAGTGAAACCAAGTTTAGTAATATGGGCATGAAGATGGTGAAGAATGGAGAGGTTATTGGAACGAGCGCAGGCTTTGAGCACAAACAGAATTGAGAAGCTGTCGTGAGGAACGGATTGGCGGTGCATCTGGGAGTAGATAGCAAGAGCTTTATTAAGGGAGGGAGCATTTCGGATGCGTAAAGCCCAAGAGTTGAAGCCTTTGGCGGACAAAGCAAATTGACGGCGAGCAGGATTGAGCAAGTGAGAGGAGCGACTTAAGAGCATAACTTGCGTCGTCTCGGCCTCGTCCGTTGACCATATGGGGAATTGCAAATATCTGCTCTGCTATATATATATATATATATATATATAATTTTAAAAATATAAACATGAACAGGAAAAAATTCAGGAGAACTTGAACCCTAAACATGAAAGGAAAACTTTAAATTTACTTTTCCATGTATGTTTTGATTTATTATTATAAACATCATATAAGAAATACAAGTTCATTCATCTATTAATTTAACTACAAAAGCTTTTAAATAAACTTCAAAATTTAACTCTGGAGTTTTATTTATTTATTTGTTTTTTTTCTTGTTGATAATTTGACCGTTGAGGAAGGTTTAACCGTTTTTGTTGGAGATAAAATTTATTTATTTATTTTTGAATCAAGTAGAAAAGATTTTGGCATATCAAATCTTGCATTACTTTTCCTAATACGAAAAAACAATCCATTCCATTATAAATTATGATTCGTATTTCTAAAATTGATCCGATATTTTGCAGGCACGCCCAGCGATAGTCGGGATCGGAACATCTAATTCTCTGCACTTCTGAACATCCGCTTCGAAAGTCCATCGCTTCAATACTCTTCCACTGCAACTCATACTTCGCCACGCTGCTTCCACCACCACTTTCTCAATAGTCATGCCACCAGGTTCCACTTTTGCTTTCAGCTCTCATTCTATTTCCTTCCTTTCAATCTCTCATCAATGTCAAATTTTGCTTTCTATACTTCCGTGCAGAGCTCCCTGGTTATTACTATGATGTCCAGAAGAACAGGTATTTCCCTCTCAAAGGCCCAATTCCTGGTTCTTCTCGCACTTCCTCCTCCTCTTCTTCAGCCCCTCATCACAAACGAGCTTCTAAGCCCACCCCGGTGTGTATTACTCTATCTCTGGATACTACCAATTTCACCTTTTCTGTTTAGGATTTATGCTTTTCAATGCGTATTCTGCTTCCCACAAAATTTCCGTGCTTAGTTGTTTTATTAAACACGGTATCTGACTTCTCTATCACTCTAGGCCCTGAATTTTGAGGTTGCTTAGTAGTCGTGGATGTTCTCTCGAGGATTAGGGCTGGACTAGGGTTCGTAGTGCTGACTTAAATCTGGGTCGAGTCAGTTTCCTCTTGGAGCGCTTTTAGAAAGAAAAAAAAGAAAAAACTGTTCAAGCTTTTGGGGGCAGACCTGGGCTTTAAAATAATATTTTCAAAAGCTCATTATTTGGCACTTATTTTTATTTATTTATTTATTTTGTATTTTCTTCTTATCAATGAAGTTCCATGTTTCCACAAACCATTCTCCATTTTTTCCTCTCTCCTTTTGGCCATTTCTTTCTCTCATCTTCTCAAACAAAACTAATGAACAACAACCTTCAAATCTTGACGTATGAGGGCAAGGTAATAATTGGGGACGACTAAAGCCGTTTTTTCTCAGTGTGAGACCTTTTTGGGAAGGTTTAGATTGGTGTTCCCTTTCAAACTGAAACATGGAGGAGTTGGAAGCTTCTTTCTCTTCTGAAAGAGAGGTGGTCTTTGGTTTTGAGAGAGAAAAAAATACCTGGTCCAAATGGTTTTACGGGCTTTCTTCTAGGATAATTGGGGTGGTATTGAGGAGGACCTTTGGAATGTCTGTAAGGAGTTTTGTGAGACATTTATAACAAAATAATTTTAGAAGAGAGGGATCCTGGATGCTTCTTTGAGGGAATCCTTTGTTTGTATCATTCCCAAAAAGGAGAGAAGGTATAGACTAACCACAAAAGAAATACAGCCTAAAAGCGAAGAAAAAATAAATAAATAAATAAATAAATAAACAACAAGAAGGAGAGAGGGAGAAAAGTGAAGGAGTTCAGACCCATTGACATGGTAACGTGTTCATACAAAATAATTGGTGAGGTTTATGCAAATAGTAGATTATGAAGGTTTTCCTTGGTGCAATTTTTTTATTCTTCAGTGGCCTTTATTGGTAGGAAAATTATGGATCCAATTGATCTAGTTCTTATCACTAATGTGGCTATTGAGGAGCAAAGGAAGGGTTTGCCTTCAAAATCTATTTTGAAAAGGCTTATGGATTTAGATTGGGACATCCTTGATAAGGTGCTCTGGAAGAAGGTTTTTAGTTTTAAGGGGAGATTTTTGATTTAGAATTGCATCAAGATTATGAACTTTTTCATTCGTATCAGTGGTAGATCAAGAGGTAGCGTTTTGGCTTTTAGATAAGAGACCCCCTTTCTCCCTTTCTCTTCTGGTTGGTTGTGGATATTCTTAGCATAAAAATTTTGAGGCAGATAGATAAGGGCGTGATCGAGGGTTTTCGGATAGGTAAGGATAGCTTATCTTGAATATATTAACTTAACTAACTATTTCTTTCTTATGCCTGTGCTTTGTGTATCCCTTTTCCTACACCAGCTGCCTCTGTGTTTTCCTCTCTTTATCTTGTTAAAGTTCCGACCAAGGTTAAGGTGTTTGTTTGACCTGTTTTACATAGGAGAGTGAATTAAAAAAAAGATTCTGAAACTTCTTTTTGGGAAGACACTTGATAGAGTGACATACATCTTTGTAGGTTTCTTTGTCTTCATCATCTGTTCTCTAAGAAGTTCATTTATGTGGCTTCCAATATTTTAAAAATTGTTCAAGGCGGCCTTGAGGTGTCTCAACGCTTACGCCTGTGCTTATGCCTGTGCTTATGCCTTGGAATTTTGATTTAATAATGTGAACCAACTCCCTTAACTCACAAAAAAAAAAAAAAAAAAGTATTCTTGTTTCCAATATTTTATTCTAACTACTTTTTGTTAATTTTCCATATTTTTTTTAAAATGTTTTTTCTTACAATTTTACCTATTTAAAATGAGGCTTACGCCTTATACTGGCTTGAGGCTTATGCCTTGCCTCTAGATGAGAAAAAGTCTCAAGTCTGCCTTAAGCGTTTTAAACATTAGTAACTTCCATTATTCCTTTTTCAGGTAGTTTTTCATCATTTTCTCTTGGCTTCTGTCACCCTGTGTTTGATAGGTAATCAAAAAATGTGTTTGATTGCCTTTCTTTGCTGGGTCGCTCCTAGGGAAAAAGATCTTCAAATCTTGGCCCTTGACCTTCTGAGATTTTCTTGTAGCTCTTGATTAATAATTTTGAGCAATCTTCCCTTCTAGCTGCTCTTGTTGTGGAACATTAAATTTTCAAAGAAGGTTAATTTTTTTGGTTGCAGGACTTGCTTGGGAGGGTAAATAGTCTAGTTTTTTTGTGTGTTGAAGGACCTAAATCATATCTATCTCTTAACATTTGTTTGTTCTATATGGGATAGTCTCTCTCTCTATATCTAGATGTTTGATATTGCATAGCTAGGATCGTCGACTCCTGCTCTATGGTGGAGAAGGTTCTTTTTCCTTCGTTGTTTCGTGATAAGGTCCAGATTCTGTGGTAGGTTGGCTTCTTTGCGCTCCGCTTGGGTCATTTGGCTTGAAGGGAGTAACAGAACTTTTAGGGATTTGAAGAGATTTTAGAGGAGGCTTGGTCATTTGCTAGGTTTAACACTTGTATGTGGGCGTTGGTTTTCAAGAACCTTTATCATTACACGTTAGGTCTTATTTTTGTTGATTGAAGTCCCCTTTTGTAAAATTAGTTGGGTGGGTCCTTTAGTTTGATTTTTTTTTTTTTTTTTTGGGTGTGTGTGTGCCAGTTGGCCTTTTATTTTGTATTCTTTCTTTTCTTTTCAATTAAAGCTTGGTTTTTCAAATATAATTTGCTGGAAGTTTTTTTAACTTTGGGTTCAAAAAATAATTTTTGAAATTATCTTTTTATGTAAGAAGATAAAACTACAGCATTTAAAAAAAATGTTAATAATAAAAGAAGCCATATAAAAGTCTATTAAATGTTTTAAAGTTGAAATACACTACAAAAATAATTAATATTATTAACTATTTTTTTAATTGAAAGCAACTTCACAAATTTAAAAGTGAATAATTAAAATTCCTCTTGTTTTTAAGAATGAATAAATTAAATTTAAAATATGTAATTACAAACTAAATTTAAAATTGTTAAAATATTTATTGGATAGTAAAAGTAGAATAACATATTGAAGTGAAGGCAAAACAGGTTATTAAAACTTTCTTCTCCTCGGTCACTTTTTGATATGTTATAGATTATATAAAGTTTAGATGGATTGCAATTACTATGCTATTGTTTTCACTTCCTTAGGTTGTATACTTCGAGGACTATTGCATTTTTCTTAGTTGGTAAGCTAATGTTTCATGATAGTCCTCGGTTCTGTCATGTGATAGTTTTGGCCTCACTTTAGAAATTATTTTATCATAATTAGGTACTTGATATCAATACATTAAAAAACAACTTTTCACCTACAGATAGTCGATTCATGTTCGAAGGCAGATTTAAGAGCCGTGAAGCTGATTCAAGCCAGGGAGTTGTATGGTGATGTTATTGCTTCCAGTAAAGGAAAGTGGAACTTCAAGGAAAAATTCCAAAATTTACTGGCATCCAAACCTGTGGTATGTTCCTTATCAACGATCGTCCTAAACTTGAGAGCACTTGTTCCAATTTCACTTAAATGGAATGTCGAATTAGGCCTTAATATATTAGTTGAATTATTTTATTGATGTTCGTGGTGGAAACCACATAAGAAAGAAGGGTAATCTAAGCGTTATGAGGAAGCTCTTAGCTTTGGACATCATTTTCCTTCTACTTTTGATGAACTGATAGGTTTGGGCTATGGTAAATAACTAAATCAGTGTAAGATAGTGATTGTTTTGTTTCCATTAAAGACCCTTCAGAAGATGTAAAACTCCATTTGGTTTTATTCTTTAAATATCTTCTAAGCAATCATCATGTCGTTTTTCATTGTTTTGCCAAACCAATGATATCCTTCAGGAATTTTTAATGTATATTCTACATAGCAGAATATTTTTCTGTTTCTTTATTATAATAAGTTGAACAAGATATTCTATGCAGGTTTGGAAGTACCGAGGAACTGATAGAATGGGGGATAGTGCTTTGCAAGAAATACCTATTAATGTGCACACCCTGGAGGGTCAAATGGAATCTACTGTTCTATTGACGGGCAATATAAGTGGCTCCTTGAGGTATTTATGGAGTTTCTCTACTGTGTGAATGCATTTGTGCTTAGACAATGCAAGAGAGTTTAATCTTTAAATCCAGTTTTTTATTAAATGGTAATCAATTCAGATTAGTTTTGTTTGTGTATGTCCGGACCATTTGGTTAGCTTTGAGTAAAGTTATGTGTAAAACAGTGCAAGGCATTTTTTGTTGGGTTGGGTTGGGTTTTTTTTTTTTTTTTTTTT